TTATCGAAGAAGGAGAAAGGACATCTTTTCTCTTAGAAATTTCTAAAATTCTCACACATCGTACAAAGATAAAATGAATCGAGAGTACACACGTGTGTATCGAGAGTTCATTAAATCCCACACCTTCGCATCTGTTCTCTCTGTGTCGCGAATTTATCACGTTATGTAAACACGCAATATTTCATTTTAAATGACTATTTATCTCGATGTGTCTATGTATTATACACAGCTATATATTGTGTTCAAATATTTCGTTTTCTTCTTCCGTTCAACATTTCTTTCGGAGTGTGATTATTAATGTTGAAAGCTGATCGTACGAAGAAACGAAATCTTTCTATTGGGAACGTGGTGTAGGATTTGAATACAATATTTGTATTTTCATTCTAATTTGATTCGGATTTGAATACTTTGACGAGAAATATCTATATATATAATTTTTTGTAATATAAAATTTAAATAATATAACTTTTCTGAATCTGGGCAATACTTTCAATTCAACGTACCTATACAGTTTCATTCTTCTTGGAATGTTTCGAGTTTCTTTTTAAACAATTTTATTACGAAGTTGCCTAAATCTCCTCCGAATTTTACACTTCTTGCAAGAATGAAATGGTAAATTGCCAATAAGAAAATCAATAAAGATCGTCAAAGAGAATCAATAACTCAATAAGGAAGCATTGAGAAACGAAACTGAAGAATGAAGGTGAATGAAGCAAGTAGACAAGAATATCGAGAAGGAACAATAATAATTATATTTATTACGCAGTTTACAGTTATTTAGGTAGTGAGTTGAGTCGACGAAACAAATGCTTCTTTATCATTTTCCTTTTCCCTTTTTTTTTATTTGCGTTTTCCATTCTTCTTCTCTTTTCTTCTCTTTTCCTCCGCGAATAAACGAAACGAGCTGCCTCGGACATAGACGCACGGTCGGACACGTCTTCATCTTCATCATCTTCCTCGGGTCGTGTTCTTTCTCATCGAGGTGATACCCTACGGTGACGCAGGCTGGTCCGAGAACGAAAAAGCATTTGCTATACTTTTTTTTAAGCGTAAGACTCTTAAAAACTGTTATACTTCAGTCGCATGCGCTATAAATCCACCGATTTCGAAGTGAAATATATTAAGGTTTCTCGGTAAAAGTAAATGTACAAATATAACTTGTTAGGAATTTCGAGCAATCACAAGTCTCGAACATCTCTTCTCTCGCTTACTCTGCGCGCCTCGCCCGTACGTTTTTTTGTTTTTTTTATTTTCCTTTTTTTTTTCTCTTTTTTTTTTTTCTTTTTCTTTTCTCTAAATCGAATCCTCCATCGCCTCATCTCAATTATTGTCCAGTAATAGACGTTAAGCTTTGTAGAAAATCCTATCTCTCCCCACCCCTATCCCCCTTTTACACCTGACCATCGATCTCCCTTCTCTTCTCGTCCTTTTTTTCTCTTTCTCGCTCACGTTAAACGTCCCGCGCGAATGTTAATCTCGTTACAAGGAGACGTTACTCGCACGTTATGTTTGGTCGAATGCGGGATTCATTAATGACTACGGCCCTCGCAACTTCCTTCGTAATAACCGGCAGCGTTGTTACTGGGTTTCAGACTCGTTTCACAATCAGTTCGGCCTCCGATATCCTATTTTTCTTCATTTCTCTCTCTCTTTCTTAAAAGAATCGACGAGCTTTCAGTATATCGATGATAATTGATGATGATTACATTGAAACGCACGACCAGAAGGAACTTCCGTCGTCTGACTCTCGTTTTCAAAATTCCGAAGGAATATCGAGACAATTTGGAATAATTTAGCTCTAATTTAACTCTTGCGTTCTCTCTCGTTTCGAATCATTGGCGAAACAATTCATTTCCGAATTAACGAATTAACGTCGTGATCTCTCCATGAAAGATTGAAACCAACGAATGATGAATTAGAATTTAGTCTCTCTTTCATTTGCAAAGTTTCATGACTTTCTCTGGATATCTCGAGTTTTTTTTTTTTCAATCAAACCTCGCATCTCGTCTCTACTTTATCTCTTAGCCGTTCGTAGATACAGATAATCTTTTACGCTGAAGATGGAGTTAACGATCAGTGTGTGCCGGTATGGAAGGTATTCAAACCACCAAAAAATCATCAAAATTCCAAAAGCTTTCGATCGTGTCTGTTCACTCTCGTTTCCAATCTCATTTACAAGTGTTCAATCCGCCACGTTGCTCGCCATCATCTTTTCATTTCGCTGTGAAAACGATTAGTGTCGAAGTTGAAAAGATACCGAAAAACTTTGTGTTCCGGGCGTATTTACGAAAGTCGCAAATTTTCGGAGAAATAAAGCAGAGAGTTAATTGCCAAAGAATGAAAAAAAAAAAAAAAAAAAGAAAAGAATTGCATGAAAATCAACTGGATCAACGAGCAACGCGTTAACAACAAACAACAAGGTCCGGTGATCCGTGGCTCCGTGGAACCGAACTGACAATAATCGCGCAGAAATAAACTCCCAAACGCAACGCGCGGTTAGGCAACTTATATTACTATTAATACTATCAACTCGTGAAATACGTTGCTATGGTACACCTATTATCTCTCTTCTTCTACTGCGCGCAAACGGAGAAAGAAAATGAATGAGAATAAGTGACACGTTCAACCGTTTGCTATTACTACGAGACATATTCTTCGTCTCCCTTTTTCATCTGCTGCCCTCCATTTCTCTCTTCGTATTCCCACACGGAAAGAAAGAACACGGGTCGCAGAGAAGACAGTAAATTAATTCGATCGCAGAGAACGCTACAAGAAACGCAATTACAAAGTAATCCGCATCCGAAGGTATCAATAGATGTGACGATAACATAAGGTAAAAGATTAACTCGTTTAAAAATTATACGAAAAATGACTATATACGATACAATCTAAAAATATAATATAAGAAAGATTGATAATTCCCCCCTCCCCCCTCTCGTTGGTCCCCTTTCGGTACGACTTTGCAATTGCAATCGAATTCACATAACTCGAACCTTCTCGATAAATATTTATTGTTCATTAAATACTCGCTCGTTTTACACTTTCTACAATTCGAATTCGCATTATTATAAAAACGTAGAAAGTTGCACGCGTCGCGACGTGTAACTCTCCCCCGTTGTGAATACAAGTAAATATGTTAACTTAATTAACCCCTTAACGTAGCCAAGGTTACAAAATCGTCTAATAATAGAAAGCCTATAATAGAAATTCGACAAAATTATCCAACGTCAAGACCGGAGAATCGCAGCGGTTCGTTCGATTCGTCTTCGTTCGGGATCTTCCGTTCTTGAAAAAGTAATAAGCGTCGCTCGTACCGAAAGGGTTCGGAAAATGCTGAACACTGTGCACTGCTGTGTTACTGTTGAGTATTTTTATCGACTGAGTTCATCCTTTGCGTTTTCCAGTTTCCTTTCGCTCTTTCTTTCTTTCAACAGAAATATAAGTGAAATTCCCGGTAGAAGTAGAGCGGAGTCGACAAATTTGAGCCAATCAAAGTGCAAAGAGCCCGCTTTCTTCTTTCTCTTTTTTTTTTTCTCTTTTTTGCCTCGAATAAACCAGGTTCTACAAAAAAGTGTAGTGTTTGAAAGTGCGAATCGATCGATAACAACAATAGATCCAGCAAGCGACTTGGATCGTTCGTGACGACGAATATAAATATATGATACTTAAATACTGGCAGTGGAAGATGCAATATAGTTATCCGCAGAGTAGGTACACGTTCTTTCTGTTTTCCTTTCTCTCGTTTTAAAATACGGCACGACGAAACATTAAGAGGGTGTTAAATAGGTTCCCGAACGAATTCCGCGCCTCCTCCGACGATAAACAATCGCGAAAACTCGTCGTTGACGCTCGATCGTTTCAAATAACCCGCTCATACAAAAATATGTAATTACGCGGTCCTCTGACCCCAGATAAATCGCGTTAGTTACGCTCATCTTCATACTTTCTTTTTTTCTTTTTATCGTTTCTTACAATTCGTCTTTCGTCTTTCGAGATCGGTCGAATCTCGTCGACTCGTTTTCCCCTCGACGCGGCTGCCAAAAACTGCGATTCGCACGGTCGAACCTCGAAAAGACAGTACGTTAGGCCGTGGAATGAACGACTCGAGGTTCTAAGTGCCGATTCTGGTCTTTTCTCAGACCTTGGCTCGCCTTTGACGATTTCTCGCCTTTCATCCCGGGATTCCGTTGTGAAAGAGGCTAGTTTCAGATTTCTCGAGTAGACGAAATTTAAATAGAAGAATTTTGTGGTATTCGTACATATAAAATCAACAATCCAAATGGAACTGTTCGTTCGTCAGGTTATTAGAAGAAAAAGAAAAAAAGAATAAAATTGCTAATCGTCGCAACGAAACGCCACCGGGAAAGGCAAGAAACGCGCCGTGCGTCTTTTTAAAACATATATACTCCCCTCCGCTGCCCTCGTAAATTATCCCATTACTAAATACCGAGAGGTTGAACCTTCGTGAAAAGTAAATATAGCACGAACGCGCACGATACAGGGTAATTAAAATACGCGGTAACAAAACGAAACGAAGTCGACATGGAAATGTTCGTCGATTCATTTTCAATTCAACCTTTTCACGGGTGTTCAAGTATGTGTGTGTGTGTGTGTGTGTGTGTGCATGTGTCCTATCGTTCGAGAATCATCCGCCAGATGATCATTTTTTTTTTTCTTTTTAACCGATGTAAACATAACTGCCACTGTTCGAGAACTTGTTTCCTTTTTCTATGAACGTTTACTCAGAGGACAATAGACCTAACAATCCATCAAGTTTCCATTAATTGGGAAAATTTAATTTTTTTTTTTTTTTTTTTTACTTCGGAAAAACACGAAAATTCCCTATACATCTTTAATACTTACGCGACTGTTTTTTTTTTTTTGTTTTTTTTCCTTTGTTTTGTCTTTACACATTTGTTAACATTTCTGTTCGTGTTTGTTTCTCTCTCTCTCTCTTTCTCTTTCTTCGATTTGAGCTGCGCTTAAGTTACAAGTTACAAATGTTCAGGACTTTTTGGGAAAATAGTTGCACGAAGCTCAGCAACGCTAGGCGTATAAGCATTCGCGGTTTCTCCACCGGGTTTCCAGCGGAGAACCGTTTCGTCAGCGACGAGATCACGATCTCTCAGATCATGGAATTTTTGGATTTTTACATCGAAGAACCGAAGCTTTGCGACACTGAACATACACAACGAGAAGACTTCGAGAATTTTGGTTAACACCCTTCATCGAACGATCATTCGAGAAATTGTTTTCGTAATTATTTCGTAACTTTCAAAAAGCTGAAAACGTTTCCTCCCGCTCGAACGGAAACCGTCGTCGAACGAGGGGAACTCTCTGAGAGATCGATTCAACGATTTAAGCGTGAATTCTTCGCATTCGGATCGTAACTTCATCCACCACCACCCACCACCAACTCACCACTAATCATCATCCTTATCCATTAGATCTATTTCACACTGAGCGAACGATTCGTGCGCGTGTCGGTTTCTCGAGCGTGTGTTCTCGCACTGAAGAAGAGACTTTCACTTTTCCACTCTCCGAGAAAAATCGCCGAGCGAATTGCACACGTGTCGATCAACGTGATACGCTACATACTCTATTCTCTTCCCTTTAAATACTCTTTACGAATATGTCCGTGATCCGCACGCACGCACGCACAATAATATAATTCTGTTCTTTTCTTTTTTTTTTTTTTTTTTTTTTTTTGAGAAGGACGTTGAAGTGTTAATTAATTCATTGATCGTACGTAACGTCGTGTAATTCATGTTCTTTGTAATATTTTGTCACTTACGTTCGTGTATCCACATTTTGAAAATTTTGTTTCATATACTTGCTGCTGGTTTGGAAATTTTGTTTCATATGCTTACTGTATTTATTTCATTCAATGTGTAAACTTTTATTTATTATGTATCATTATTATTATGTATTATATTATTTATTATGTATTACTATTATTATGTATTATAGTATTTATTATGTATCATTATTATGTATTATAGTATTTATTATGTATCATTATTATTATTATGTATTATAGTATTTATTATGTATTTTATTTATTTCATTCAATATATAAAAAACATCATTCGAGTCCAGATTTTACATTGGAGTAAATAGCTACGAATAATTAATAATCATCAGTTAATTTTGTAAGGAATGTTTTGTGTGCTTAATAAGTTATTTAACATCCCTCATAATAGGTTTTTTTTTTTTCATATGCAATTATAACTTGAAGATCTTAAAAGGTTTCCTGTTCGTTAATGAGCAATCTGCTGAAATGGTTGTATCGGAAATACAAATCATTTATGTAATCTGTATATAAAATTAATTTACAGAAATGACAGGAAAAATCGTGAAAATTCTTCATTATAAGATAAAAATTATTTGTACAATTCGTACGACATAGTATATATTCCACGCATATTCTACAATTTTCAATGTGTAGGTTGAATGATTTTATTAAAGTCACTAATCTAGCTACGTGATAACTAATCTAGCTTAACAACAATTAATGATTACAGTGATCAATTACAGAAATGATTAAGAAAACGATTAGGAAAATCAGCTGCTGCTTATCTACATAAATATTAAAAACTTCGGCGTATCCATATTAGAATTAATTGGCATCGGACATTATGTTACAATGTTATGTTACGATTGACACAAAAATCTGGAAGTTGTCATGTTCGTGACAGTATACAATTGGAAGGGATGATTCGCAATTAAAATCTCGTAACCGTCGCACAGAGGAAGATCTTAGCTTCAAAACAATGTAAAAATTAACTCTAAATGTTTACGAAGCGATAAAACTACGAATATATGAATATTTCGTTTCACATGAAACATGTTATAAATATCTGAAATTCATTTTTATACTGCTTCGAAGCTAAGATCTTCCTCTGTGTAATGATTACGAAATGTTAATCGGGAAGTGCAAAAAGAAAAAAAAAATTCAGCGCGGTTTTCGGCTGAGCTAGATCGACCGAATAGTCCGCTATGCTGCGAGGGCGACGGTTCCGACCCATAACAGAGCTATTTCCACGTCTTCTTCTGGGAATGCTTTCGTTGGTACTCTGCCAGAAATTTTTCTCAGTGTACATATATATATATATATATATATATATATATATATATATGTTCGTAAAGCCATAGAAACGTGTGTTACGACACCGGGACCACGCTCTCGATGTTTCTCTTCGGGGAATCGTCCCGCGCATAAACATTACCAGACCGTCGAAAGCTTAAAGTGGCACGAGTCGCGAATAAAGTAACTGGCCAATCCTGCTCTGACGATGCTCTGCCTCGTGACTACACACGGCCTGACCACACGGTTTCCTTCGGCCAGCTGAAAAGGGTCCAGGTAGCGCCCGAGGTTTCCCCTTTGAGGAAAGACAACTGCGTTCCAAACCTGTATTTTTAAACCTGCGGCCTGTTCTTTGACGAATTACCAGAAATTATTAAACGCCAGAAACTATCGTTTCACCTGGGCAAATAGCAAAGTTGGATCTGTATTTTCCCTTGGTGATATATGTCAGATGATGCGGGATAATCTGTGAGAGAAATCTCTGCTACGAGTTGGTGGATCGCAGATCGAATTTTTTATGCGTTGATGTTGCAGTTAGTGCCGGTGTTGACTTGGCAAGCAGAACAGAGAAAATTATAGATAGGTTGAAGTGGAAAAATCGTAATTAGTATGTTTAATATTATAATTATAATAGTTATTTAATATTGATAGTTGAATTAATTTAATTTTATTAAATAATACAATTATTAGTGTATATAATATTATAATTAGTATATTAGTATATTGTAGGAATTTTGGTAAAAGATGGTTGTTTATTTAAAGTTAAATAAAGAAAATTCGTTTAACAATCACAGTTTATAAATTAACACTATTTTACACTATTTTCTCTTAATCGCTACGGTTACACTCAATCTTCGCTCACTCGAAACTCACAGCTCTCTCTGACTTCTCGAAACTCACTGCTCTTTTTCCTTATCTGCACAAAAATTCGTCATTCATACACACATCCACACAAATACGTCCATTTCCTTAATATCTTAAATGCTAGGGCTGGAGGACTAGCCACAAACAATCCCAAGTCCTAGGCCTAACTTTCTCTGCAGTACGCCACTTGGGACATCTGGGTGCAATTGTTGGGCACTGGTTGGGCCCTTTCCCAGAATTTGCCCATCCCACAATATTTAATAATTATTACTATATTTAATATAGTAATTATAATTAATATTATAATATACAAAATATTATAATATAATTACTATATTTAATATACAAAATTAATATTATAATGTTATAATTTAATATTATAATATTATAATTACTATATTTAATATACAAAATTAAGTGTATTTAAGTATAACCATAGGCAAGTATAACCTCAGGCAAAACAAATAATAAATTTATTACCTCTCAATAATTTCTATCCAGTGATATACTGACGAGTTCAAAAAGAAAGCGACGAATTATTGTATACGTTGTTCGGTCACTCGTTATGGTCCGCAATCAGTTACCAGCGCAAGTGGTTAACGACGGTTCCTTTTTATGCTTATATTGAGACAAGCAACGTTCAGAGAAATTATCGTGACGATTTTACACGATTGTACGTATCATTTGATGTTTCTTACATTTTGTTTCTCATTTTTTTTTTTTTTTCACACTTTTCTTTAATAGAAGGTGGGAGGTTGCAAAAGGAGTTGTCGTACACCTCGGAAACACTGGGAGTAGCAGCCTCCTCGACGCATCAGCTCGTGATCCAAACTCCGAGGGATCCCGGGGCAAATATTTTGCATGCTGCTGCACTCAAGGAACATTTGGCGATCCTAAAGGCGGCCACGCAGGTCACCATACACCTATTCGACATGTAAGTATATTTCTCATCGTACTTCTTTTCATTCTACTGTCTCGCTGAGATATTCTAATGTCTATGAAGTTGGGAGGAAGTATCAAATGGTGACTTTACATAACATTTCTATGTTTTTTTCTATTAAAAATTTACAGTGATCATTGATCAAAATGGAAATCACTTAAATTGATATTTTAGGTACTTAAAATTTATTTATTATAAACTTGAATGTATCTATATTCGAGAAACCTAAATTATTATATATATATATATATATAAATTAAATTAATAATTTATAATAATTTATTACACGTAGTTTATAATAATTCACAGTAACTTATATATATATAAAGTAATTTATACATTTGCTTAAAAAATTCAAATTTTATCGAAACGAAATAATTGTGCGTCCGCAAAGTCGTTTGCAATGCAAACACGATTCGCCTACTTCCCGCGAACTTCATGGACAACGTAGCGAGTTAGTCGAGGAGCGGTTAACAATAAGAGCAAACGATTGCCGCCGTCGTTTCGAAATTTTCTTCGCTGGCTCCTCGTCGCTGTTATATCGACGAGACAGGGGGATGAGGGGGTTAAAGGGATGCAGAACTTGTATTCATGAACGTGTGTGCTTGCAGCACGTGGAAACTGAAAGACATATGTTACGCGCTCAACATACCCAACTTCGACATGCACTACATCGACCAGGTAATTTAGAACTACCATCAATTCACGTAGATGTAAGCAGATAGGGAGTGTCGCGTTCGTGTTCGTCGACTATTCAAGCATTCGACGCATGAGCTACGATATCGCGTTATCGTGCGCGCACTCTGACTTCTCGATTTCCATTAGGAAATCCTAGCAATCTAGCGATGGCTGCGATAAGCGAGCTGCGATCGTGCGTCTTTGTCTTTGGGTATATATTCAAGTCGTATCAATATACTCTATACTTGGCAATGTCATTTTTATAAAGTTGTACCCGTTCTTTTACTTTCTGAGTATTTAGATATCTGAGTGTGTAGATTTCGAAGAAATTTAATTTGTGCATGAAGAAATGATTTTTATTGGAGTGAATAAAAATACAATTCTTAATATGAAACATACAGGTCTAGCCTGTTACATATATTGCACATACGTGTGAATGTCTTAACATAAGTATATATTTATTTATAATATATTTAAAATAATAATATATTTATTTACTCATTTATTAGAAACATACATTTTGATTCAATGAGAGGAGCAATGTACGTTATACGATTCGCCGTTGTAACTAATAACAATAATCTTCTCGTCATCCAGTTAGACATTAGAAATTCTCAAAAGGCTTGAAAAAGACAATGCGATGCGAAAGTGTTTTTCAATTTTTGCCACGAAGAGTCGTTTACCAGACTACCGTGCACTCATCGTATGGGAAACATACGTAAGAGAGAATCGTGGCCATCGCTAGGCGTAGCACGTATCAATGGCGGTTCCCTTCGTTTGTTTCCTGGCGTTCAGTCGCCACGTCGTTCCCGGACAGCTCACGTACACGTCGTAAACGTCGAAAATTTGAATACGAACGCTTGAAAAGCCGAACGAACGCCGCCGGTTTGCACATATGTACGTACGTGTGTATAAAGTCGCACGCTCACGCGTGCTACATCGTTTCTTGCGCTCCGCTAACGAGCGGACGCGTTAGATGCGTTTCGAGGAATCAGGAAAAGGGAAAAGCACGAAATTGCCTTGACCGGTCGCACGAGAGACGCCGCGTATCGAACACGACGCTTCCGCGATATTACTGGCGAGTTTCACTGCACCGGACGTTGCTCTCGATTTAATGCTCCAATTTCTTTTCTTTTTCTTTTTTCCTTTTTTCCTTATCAAACAACGACCGATTTTCATTCGACGAGTTTGCTTGGCGGTGGCTTTTCTGAGAAATTTGAAAGTCTAAGCACGTATAAAATTCGTGGCGTATGTAACACTAGAACTACCGACGTTTTGACGAAGCCATTTCTACCAGAGCCAGTTCAAATGACTGGTTTTTAATTTTCTAACAGCACCAGTCAAAATGACTGGCTTTTAATTTTCTATCAACACCAGTCAAAATGACTGGTTTTTTGTTTTTCCACCAAAACCAGCCCACATGACTGGTTTTTAATTTTCTAACAGCACCAGTCAAAATGACTGGTTTTTAATTTTACACCAACACCATTCCAAATGACTGGCTTTTAATTTCCTATCAACACTAGTCAAAATGACTGGTTTTTTATTTTTCCACCAAAACCAGTCCACATGACTGGTTTTTAATTTTCTAACAGCACCAGTCAAAATGACTGGTTTTTAATTTTCTACCAACATCAGTCAAAATGACTGGTTTTTTGTTTTTCCACTAAAACCAGTCTACATGACTGGTTTTTAATTTTACACCAAAACCAGTCCAAATGACTGGTTTTTAAACCCATTACAGTCTCGTCAAATTTTCAATAAATGTGAATCTACTAACCGAAATCAATTCACTATACATATATGTCAGAAAAAGTTCTACCCATGTTTTAGGGATTTATCACGACTTTTAAATAAATAATAAATAAAAATGTTTAAATTATGAATAAACATTGGAAACCAAAATAAACAGACAAATGTTTGCAAACAAAGCAAAATTTCAAAGTTTTCGAAATTCCGATTGCAAATTTTCGAAAATTTTTCAAAACAAAGTGTGTTTACGCCAAAAAAATGTAAATAAACATTGTAAACCAAAATAAACGATCAAAAAACGTAAATAAACATTGAAAACCAAAATAAACAGACCAATGTTTGCAAACAAAGCGAAATTTCAAAGTTTCCGAAATTCCGATTGCAAATTTTCGAAAATTTTTCAAAACAAAATGTGTTTACACCAAAAAAATGTAAATAAACATTGTAAACCAAAATAAACGATCAAAAAAACGTAAATAAACATTGAAAACCAAAATAAACAGACCAATGTTTGCAAACAAAGCGAAATTTCAAAGTTTCCCAAATTCCGATTGCAAATTTTCGAAAATTTTTCAAAACAAAATGTGTCTCCACCAAAAAAATGTAAATAAACATTGGAAACCAAAACAAACAGTCAAAAAAATGTAAATAAACATTGAAAATCAAAATAAACGGACCAATGTTTGCAAACAAAGCGAAATTTCAAAGTTTCCGAAATTCCGATTGCAAATTTTCGAAAATTTTTCAAAACAAAGTGTGTTTACACCAAAAAAATGTAAATAAACATTGGAAACCAAAATAAACAGACCAATGTTTGCAAACAAGCGAAATTTCAAAGTTTCCCAAATTCCGATTGCAAATTTTCGAAAATTTTTCAAAACAAAATGTGTCTCCACCAAAAAAATGTAAATAAACATTGGAAACCAAAACAAACAGTCAAAAAAATGTAAATAAACATTGAAAATCAAAATAAACAGACCAATGTTTGCAAACAAAGCGAAATTTCAAAGTTTCCGAAATTCCGATTGCAAATTTTCGAAAATTTTTCAAAACAAAATGTGTTTACACCAAAAAAATGTAAATAAACATTGTAAACCAAAATAAACGATCAAAAAACGTAAATAAACATTGAAAACCAAAATAAACAGACCAATGTTTGCAAACAAAGCGAAATTTCAAAGTTTTCGAAATTGCGATTGCAAATTGTCGAAAATTTTTCAAAACAAAGTGTATTTACACCAAAAAAATGTAAATAAACATTGGAAACCTAAACAAATAATCAAAAAAACGTAAACAAACATTGAAAACCAAAATAAACAGACCAATGTTTGCAAACAAAGCAAAGTTTCAAAGTTTTCGAAATTCCGATTGGAAATTTTCGAAAATTTTTCAAAACAAAGTGTGTTTACACCAAAAAAGTGTAAATAAACATTTGAAACCAAAATAAACAGACCAATGTTTGCAAACAAAGCATAATTTCAAAATTTCCGAAATTCCAATTGCAAATTTTGGAAAATTTTTCAAAATACAGTGTGTTTACCACAAAGGATTGTAAATAAACATTGGAAACCAAAACAAACAATCAAAAAAATGTAAATAAACATTGAAAATCAAAATAAACAGACCAATGTTTGCAAACAAAGCGAAATTTCAAAGATTTCGGAATTCTGATTACAAGTGTACTTACCTATACTTACCGAGTATCCATGAGTTACCTACAAATGTTAGAAATGATTTCATAATAATTCACTTAGAACTAAGTTAATATACGAATACTTACCCATACTTACCCTGTGTAAGCTGTCGATACGTGTTGTAGTTGATTTCATTGCATATTAGATTACTTAATAAACTACAGCAATTGAAATATATATATCAAAAACTTTGAAATTTTGCTTTGTTTGGAAACACTGGTCTGTTTATTTTGGTTTTCAATATTTATTTACGTTTTTTTGATTGTTTGTTTTGGTTTCCAATGTTTATTTACATTTTTTTGGTGTAAACACACTTTGTTTTGAAAAATTTTCGAAAAT